TTGTATTTTGTGAACTATTGACATTTTTAGAGATATAAGCTCATCCCGATGTTATACTCGTCAAGAGCTTTCATTTGAGTACCCACATGCATTTTGGTATATTTTTCATATATACATATATATAATATATATAAATATATGAAAAATTGATGTGGGTACTCAAATGAAAGGTCTTGATGAGCAGAACATCGGGATGAGCTTATATCTTTAAAAATGTCAATATTTAACAAGATAAAAGTTAATTTCTTAATTATTTATCTAGAGATAGAGCATTTTCGAATGCAGCCTAAATACTTATCATAATAAAATGACTATTGGTAAAAATAATATGAAACCTTAAAAAGGTACAAATTAAATTCAAGACCTTTGCAATGACACTAAATTTCATTAAAAAAACCGATTTTATCATATGACTATCCTGAACACAAAATTTTTCTTATTCTCTTAATAATATAGATTATAAATCCATAAACAAATCGAAGAAGGACATTCGTCTTTCATAATACAATATAAAAATTATAAATTAAAATCTTAATTGTTTTATTCCCAGGAATATTTGTCAAAGAAAAGTCAAAGAAAAAAAACAATTAATTATATTGTTAAATTGAAAATAATCAAGAAATAGTAATAAATAAATTTTTAGTCGCTGTTAAATATTCTCAATTGAATAAAAAAATATCACAAATTAAATCTTACGTGAAAATCGGGTATAGTTGGTGGTTGATAAACATTCCACTCCTGTCTCGGCAAGATTTTAATCGGTACATCGTGAATACACTGCCAAGAATCCGTCGTAAGTGAAGGTAATTCAATTTCTAATGTTAAACAAGGATGTTGTTTATTTGTAAGTTTCATCTTGACGCTTCTGGCTGTTGCTCTCAGTGACATCAAGCTTTTAGCCAGCATTTGAGCATCAAAATCAAACAAAATTTTGTTGTTATTTTCGCCAATGCCCACCATTACATACTCGTTAAAAAAGTGATACCGCGACAATTCAACCCAGACTGTTGGTGCACGACCAGAATCATCAAGAACAGTGAAACATATTTGATCGTTGGTCAATTCGAGTACACAATGTTTCGAAGTTTTTGATATAGCTGTTACGATATCTAAACATATCAAATAAAAGCATTAATAATAAATATTATTATGATATTAAAGTCAGCTGTCACTTGATAATTTTTTTTTAACAAATAAATTTACTCCGAAAAATTATTTTAAAAAAATTGCATTTATAATTTTTTTTTAATTTTTACATGTCAATTTTTTGCTCTCATTTTTTTTGCCATAATTTATTTGTTAAAAAAAATATGACAGTAAAGTTAGCAGTCATTAAAGAATTTTTTAATTTTTTTTAACAAACAAATTTGTTGCAAAAAATAATTTTAAAAAAATTGTATTTTTAATTTTTTTAAATTTCTACATGCCAATTTTTTTTAATAATAAATATTATTATGATATTAAAGTCAGCTGTCACTTGATAATTTTTTTTTAACAAATAAATTTACTCCGAAAAATTATTTTAAAAAAATTGCATTTATAATTTTTTTTTAATTTTTACATGTCAATTTTTTGCTCTCATTTTTTTTTGCCATAATTTATTTATCAAAAAAATTTTTAAAATTATCAAATATCTGCTAAATTAATTTTCATAAAAAAAATTCTAAAAATTATTCAATATCTGCTAAATTGATTCTTATATAAATATTAATATTAATTTTTTATAAAATATAAAATAGGTTATATTTACTTGTAAAATCTCGCATTGCTACCGCATCTATCATTTTACAACGAAATCTCATTGTTATTGTTGTTTAATCAAATAAATTATAATTTAATTTCACAATAATTTTATTAATCGAAAAATTTAACGCACTATTTTATTTAAATAATTTTTAAGTTTTAAATAACACTTGACATATTTACATAGATTTGTTTTGTTAGAGGAGCTTTTGGCGGGAATTTAACTTAACCTAACTTAGAAATGTATGATAAAAATTTAGTTGAGAAATAAAACTGAATAATTTTTAGTAAAATTACAAGACAAAGTTAATAAAAATATTTTTTTTATGACATTAAAGTTAGCAGCCGCTTGAAAACATTTTAATTTTTTTTAATAAATAAATTTGCTCTGAAAAATTATTTCTAAAAAATTGGATTTTTTATTTTTTTCATTTTCTAAATGTCAATTTTTTTTCTCATTTTCTTTGAGATAATTTATTCGTTAAAAAAAATTTTTAAATCATAAATTATCTACTAAATTAATTTTTTTTTCTTTTTTAATTTACTTATTTATTTATTAGATTTACTATAAAATTTTATTTACTTTTTTTTTTTTAACTTATTTGTTAATAAATTTATTTTTATCCGCTCGCTACTTTTTTAATAAATTAAAAAATTGTAAAGTGACTGCTAACTTTAATGTCATTTATTTACAATTTTAACTAAAACTGCGCAATAACTATAAATGGTGGAATTAATCATCAATTTATGTCATAAATTACATTTAACATATATGTGCACGTATGTTGACACTTACTGCATAAGTTACTTATGTGTGTACGAATTATTAATGTGTACGTTATATTGTTGTCTCTTAGTGTCAGTAATATTCATAATTGATTATTTTATTGTGAAGAAAGTCGGTTACAAAAAAAAATAAATTTCAAGGTATTTAAAATGATTTTAAATTAAAATTTTTGTATTGTTAAACTGCAACAATTAATATACCCGTTTGTTTTTACCAAGTGAGTAATAATGTGCAATTGAAATTATACCGAGTAATGGCCAAATCACATAATTTTCTGGCAGTCAATTCTGCAAACCCGTCTTTATTCAAGTAAGTTTTAAGTATGTTGGTATTTTTTAAATTTACGCTAAAAATAGTGAGTAAATATTTAATAATTAATAAGGGGTTAGAATTATATGAGTTTGTAATTAAAAAACATTTTTTCAAGCTATAAGTAGTCGGAAAATTCTAAAAGAATTCAAGACAAATATTTAATCTTACGTTCGAAAGTGTATTGTAATAATAAATGCATTTTGTTTTTTAACTTTATAACTTATTATATTATTATATAAAATGCTAGATTTCTTATAATTTAAGAAATTTCATTTTAAAAATTAATAATTATATTTTACAGTTGTAAATTGCAACTCTAATATGAATTTTTTTATAATAAAAATAAATAATGTTATAGTATAGGTTTGTTTATCTTTTTTACATATATTTTGCTTGTTTCACTAAATATCTGTAAGTAATCTATATTATTAAGAGAATAAGAAAAATTTTATAAGAATAAGATACATAATTAAGAAATTAACTTTTATCTTGTGAAATATTGACATTTTTAAAGATATAAGCTCATCCCGATGTTCTGCTGATCAAGACCTTTCATTTGAGTACCCACATCAATTTTTCATATATTTATGTATATTATATATATGTATATATGAAAAATATATCAAAAATGCATGTGGGTACTTGAATGAAAGCTCTCGATGAGTGTAACATCGGGATGAACTTATATCTTAAAAAACGTCAATAGTTAAAGAAGTATAGTGCAATTTAACAAATATCTTGTGAACTATTGACATTTTTAAAGATATAAGCTCATCCCGATGTTACACTCGTCAGAACCTTTCATTTGAGTACCCACATCAATTTTTCATATATTTATGTATATTATATATATGTATATATGAAAAATATATCAAAAATGCATGTGGGTACTCAAATGAAAGCTCTTGATGAGTGTAACATTGGAGCTTATATCTTCAAAAACATCAAAATTTAAGAAAGTACAGTGCAATTTAACAAGAGTCATTATTTAATAAAGAAAAATTTCAATTTTTTTTATATTACAAGTCACGGTAGTCACATAGTGACTGCAGGGTTGCTAGTAATAATTATTTGAGGAGTTGCAAATTCAAAGCGATTAGCTTATTTTTACTAATTAATATTTTATAATTTATAATTATAATACTAGAGATAACATAAATCTTACTATTCTGTAGTTTCATTTAAGAAATATCAGACCTAAGAAAAAAATTTCTAAAAAATGACATTTATAATTCTTTTTTCATTCATAAATCTAAATTTTTCAGAAATTATCCTTATGATCTTTTATTTCTTAACAATCATCAGGTTTTTAATGACTTCATCTTTTATTAAACAGAAAAGTACCGGAGATTTGTTATAAAAAATCCCAAGTAACATAATTGTATCTAGCGGTTGTAAATAAAAAATTATTTATTAATAGTAATCTAAAAAATTCAAGCTGTAGGTCCTTCGAGCATACTGTAATTAACTAAACAGGTGAAAAGTAAAATTTTCCTCGAGAATTCTGCAAAAAAATTTTTTTTTCTTCTAAATATATTACTAAAATAAAATAGAAAGTGACAGTAAGGTATTTAGCCGTGTTAGGTATCTCCAGGTAGCTCTCAATACCGACATATTCTACGGGTGTACCGGCTGTTTAAAATTTTTTTTCTTTTTATTTTTTTTTCACGTCGTTTCTCTTGCTCGGCGTTGTATTGAGCGCCTAGATGAAACAGGTGGCAAGGCACGTGGCATGCGATAAATGCACACCAGCCTTCACTTCAGTTTCTTCCATTTCCATATTATATAGAAAACATCATATCTTAAACTATTTACTTGGATACTCCATTCTGGATGGTATTGATGGATGCATCGGTCGGCTCTGACTTTACTTTAGTAGTCTGTCGGGTATATCACGCATCATCATTCATTCATTCTAGATAAGTATAAAAGAGAGGGAGTTGACGGTGAAAAGCCTTGGAAAATAGCGCAGGATGAGGATGGCGCGTGCATATCCGAGCAGCTGTGTCACACAAATGCTTTGAATGTCTGGGTATACATAAGTAAACTTCACCAAAGAAATTTCTGTCTGGTTCATTCTTTTATTTGGAGCCATCTTGCATCACTAAGGAATAAACCAGCTAAAAAAATTTTAAGATTATATATATTACTATATGTTTATATAATTTATATTCTCATAAAGAATGAATACTTACTTATTTATATTAATTATTATGTTTTCGAGAAACCTGGCTTATTTTTCAGTGTATGTATCTGATGTCCCGGCAAAAAGTAGCATCAGGACGTATAGAATAACCCAAAGATGGTTCAACTTTCCTCAACAAGAATATCAGGGCCAGGGCAACCCTATCTATCTTAAATCTCACGCATATAAAGTGTCCAAATTTTTTATTATTATTTGCTAAATACAGATTGTCATTGTTATTATTTTTGTCGCTGAATTTTCGGTACTAATCTTTAAGCCGAAGACTATAACGCTCCATAAATAAAACCGACCGTGTAAAATTATTTTATTATCTATATTATTAAGAGAATAAAGTTGTGCCTTTTCAAGGTTTCATATAATTCTCACCAATAGTCAATTTATGATGATAAGTATTTAGGCTGCATTCGAGAATGCTCTATCTCTAGATACATAATTAAGAAATGACCTTGTATCTTGTGAACTATTGACATTTTTGAAGATATAAACTCATCCCGATGTTACACTCATCAAGACCTTTCATTTGAGTACCCACACGCATTTTGATATATTTTTTATATATTCATATATA